GGAGGGGGGACTTACAGGAAGCCCAATATCCCCCCCCCCCCTCCAGCCTGGGCAAAAAAAAGAGACCCCGTAAAAAAAAAAAAAAAAAAAAAAAAAAAAAAGAGAGATAAAGAGGATCACTTCCTAATGATAAAAAGTTCAATTCAACAGGAAGATACACCAGTATTAAATATGCATGCACTGAATAACATAGCCACAAAAATATGTGAAACAAAAATTTTAGGGGTATAAGAAAACCGACAAGTTTACATTCATAATAGATTATAAAATATCTCTCTCAGTAATTGATAGATCAAGCAGACAAAACAATAAGGACAAAGATGTTTTGAATCCCAGATTGAACTATTATGATCTAATGGACACATTTAGTACACTGTACTCATCAAATACAAAATACCCCCCCTTTTTTTTTTTGAGATAGGGGTCTTGCTATGTGGCCCAGGCAGGTCTCAAACTCCTGGGCTCAAGCGATTCTCCTGCTTTAGCCTCCCAAACAGCTGGAATTATAGCCATAAGCCCCCATACCCAGTGGAATACCTGTTCTTTTCAAGTATACTCAGACATTCTCAAAAAATTTAGCAAATACTGGGCCATTAATCAAGCTCTAACAATTTCCAAATGGAGGCTTTTCATTATAATGACCAGGAATGTAAAATTCTATTTTTTTTTTAAATTGAGACAGAGTCTTGCTCTGCTGCCCAGGTTGGAGTGCAGTGGTGTGATCTCAGCTCACTGCAACTTCTGCCTCCCAGATTCAAGCAATTCTTGTGCCTCAGCCTTCCGAGTAGCTGGGATTACAGGGGCACACCCTCATGCCCGGCCAATTATCATTATTATTATTATTTTTTGAGATGAAGTCTCACACTGTTGCCTGGGTTGATGTGCAGTGGTGCAATCTCTGCTTGCTGCAACCTTTGCCTCCCGGGTTCAAGCTATTCTCCTGCCTCAGCCTCCCAAGTAGCTAGGATTACAGGCACCCACCACCACGCCTGGCTAATTTTTTATATTTTTAATAGAGACAGGGTTTCACTATGTTGGCCAGGCTGGTCTATTGCAGGATCTGGCCAGCAACCCACAGTGCAACGGAACTCTTTCATTGTTCCCAAATGGATTGGCAGGTCGAGACACACACAAGATAGTGAAAGCTGTGTCCAGGGAGTCACTGCCTTCTGGTCCTGTGATGCCGCAAATGCACTGGATATACCAGTATTTGTTATTAAGTTTAGTGAGGGCAGGGGTAGGTTGGTGAGGGATTTAGGGTCATTTGATTATGAGGTGAGATGGTCACATGGGGATGAAGTAATTCTTTAACATAACATCTGTATGCAGAAGTACAGTATACAGAGAAAATAACTTACAATATAGTGTGTGTGTCAGTAATTTCTAACAGAGCCTTAAAACAGAAACACAGTCTATCCCTAACCTATGATGAGCAAGATATTAATCAGCAATAACAGATGCAGCAAAAGCTGGTTGCAAACAATCAATAGAAACAGGACGTGAAGCTAGACAACCGGTTAGACCAAAAATTCTCAGGAGTATGCCTTAATGCTAGAGACCTAGAAGAGCTGTGGCAAGATAAGGGCGTTTATAACCCTATCTTATGAATATGAACAGGCGCCCCTCACGCGTCCGTTTATAGGCTCTACACAAGGGTCGCATTCCATTCCCAGAGCTATGAACATCTGCTTTTCTGGAATAGGAATCTTGGTGATGTGAAACCTCCCTGACTGCGCGTCCATTCATAGGCTCTCTGCAGGGGGAAGCACATCACGCACTGTTGGCTCATTCTGGCAGCCCAACCTGGCATTGTCTTTACACAATCCTGCATGCAATTTTGTATTTACAGTAATCAGGAGCATTTCATCTTTATTCTGTAGCAATAGTTTCAGGGAATCTCCCTACATTGGTCTTGAACTCCTGACATTGTGATCCACCCGCCTCGGCCTCCCAAAGTGCTGGGATTACAGGCGTGAGCCACTGTGCCCGGCCAATTTTTGTGTTTTTA